CAGTGTACCGTATGGAGAGATATTTGTGCCATCGGTTTAAGCACGCAGGAACCAGTCTGGTGGTTTCCTCTAGTTGTTTCCGCGCCGGTGGCGCAAAACCGGTCTGTCGCACGCTCAACTCTGAAAAACCCTCTCTACACACTGTTCTCGCACTCAGTTTCATCTCTTTTTTCCATTTAACCGGATGTAGTATTTGGAACGAATGCTTTCATTGGATGAAAAGAAGCTGAGCGTGATTGGCTGATGGTATGGTTCATTTACATACATTGCTGAAGTCGCGAGCACAGAGAGTTGAGCGAGCGGAGAAACAGCCGAGCGCACAGCTGGTGTTGAGTGCGGAGATAGCAGGTCGAGCGCGAGCAGAGACGGATCCGAGCACAGCAGAGATGAAACTGAGCGCGAGAACAGTGTGTTGAGAGGGTTTTTCAGAGTTGAGCGCGCGCCAGACCGGTTTTGCGTGCGCTTGGATTGGTTCCTGCGCGCTGAAACCGATGGCACAAATATCTCTCCATAGTAACGGTCTGTTGTGGTGAAGAGAGAGCTGAGCCAAAAAGCAAAGCTCTCGATTTACCGGTCGATCTACGTTCCTACCCTCATCTATGGTCATGATCAAAAGAAAGAGATCCCGGATACAAGCGGCTGAAATGAGTTTTCTCTGTAGTGTGTCTGGGCTCTCCCTTAGAGATAAGGTAAGGAGCTCAGTCACTCAGGGAGGAGGCCCAGGGGGAGACCCAGGACACGCTGGAGGGTCTATGTTTCTCAGCTGGCCTGGGAGCGCCTTGGGATTCCCCCAGAGGAGCTGGCCCAAATGGCTGGAGAGAGGGACGCCTGGGCCTCCCTACTGAAGCTGCTACTCGAAGGTTTTTTTTTTTATACTTCTGCTTCCATCAGTGCCGTACAACACATATAGAAGTTATTAATCTGTTGGGTAAAATTGATTTATATGTTGTTTGGGTGTCATTTAACGTCTACTGGTGTGAGGTTACCTGTAGTTGTGTAGGATTCTGCGATATGTTTGGATGCTACGCCCGTTTCGGTGATGCTTGACGACAGGGTGAAGCTGCTCGGGTAAAAACTCCCCAGAAACAGAGCGAAGCACAACACGACCACCTGTAGAGAAACCAACAGGCCGACGGAGAGGGAAGGAGGGAGGAGGCGCGGATCCAGAGAGGGAGAGACAGATGAATAAATCAGGAATTACCATGGAAGCAGATGTTTCCATATTAATGACCACCAGCAGCACAGTCACATATATGTTACCATTAAGCATGATGACGTCTGGGTGCCGGCCATTCGGCAGGACTTCTGGATTTTTCCTGTCACCATCGCCTGCAGAGCCTGCAGCTGCTGCAGCAGAGATCTGCAAACACACAGTTAAAACTATTTAATACTGTTTTATGTGAAACGGTTTAAAACCTTTTTTCTATAATAAAAAAAAAAAAAGAAACGGTTTAAAACTTCTGAAAAGCCATTAAAAGATCGCTTTAGAGAACTACATCTATCATCATGACTTATATTAATATAAACTTACAAAGAAGATGAGCTCTATGGAGGATAAAAAGTGCCAAAATTAAATAAATACAGCATTAAATAAATAATTAAATGTGT